TGTGTCACAAAAACATTCAACAATTTTTCATCGGCGGTGACTTCGCTCTGGCCATCACTGAACACCAGGGCGTGTATGGCTGGGGCTGTAATAATGGCGGACAAGTGGCCAACAGTGAGCACTTGGATGGCTATCTAAAGCCCCGACCCATACCTGAGTTAAACGGATTAAATATAACGCAAATCAGTTGCGGTTCATATCACTCGCTGGCGCTCACCGGCAAAGGCTGTGTCTACGGTTGGGGTTATGACCGATACGGACAGGTCGGATGCGGCCGCGGCGGCGGTGAGTCCAGTTCCCGGTCGCCCCACTCGGCGGTACCGGTGCCCAAGAAATTGCATTTCATACACAATAATAGTGAATATAAAATTAAATCCGTTTACTGTTTGAGTTACTCGTCGTTCGCCATCGCATACACCGGCCATGTGTTTAGTTGGGGTCGAAATTATTTCCACAATTTGGGACATCCGGTGGCGGGAAATGTTGGGAAACCCCTAATGATTGGCAATCTGTCGGGTGTGGAGACCGTGTGCTCCACAGGACTCATGACATACTTTTTATCAAATGAGGGTTTAGTATATTTTTGCGGCCAATATATGGCCCAAAACGGGGAATATTTCCTCTGGAAGTTCCAGACAAAAATCCACTCGAATAGGAGGTGCCAGGAGTTGCAGCAAATCAACTCTCAACGCGAACGATCATCGTTGATTATGGCCGTTATGACCGACAAGATTTATTTCCTGAATGATAAAAATGATTTACTTATTACAGGTTATCGCAGTTTGTTTGACTGCAGCGACAATACGTTGAAAACAATTAACTTGTTTAATTATAGAGAGAATTCTCACATTAAAAACGATAGGTTTGTCGCGAAATACACATTATTTTTGGATAAAATGTTTGATACAATTAAGCGAACAATTGATGGCATGTTTTTAAAAAATTATCAATATTTAAAATATACATGTATAATTAATTTTATATTCTAGATCAAACAGCGAGAAAATTTAAAAGGAGCCTGAGCGAATATAGTAGACTATACGAAGTTATATCTAAAATTGGATCAGGTTCATTTGGAACAGTTGATAAAGTTAGACGAAAATTAGATGGACATAAATATGCTGTTAAAGTATTTGATTTACAATGTATGTAACATTTATATATTGTATAAAAATTTATCTATAACACTAACAATATAAAACAATTACACTTAATTATACATTTTTAGCTCGTGCTGATTTCTATGACCAGTCGCAACTATTTAACACTTTATTTGTATCATCTGTGCATTAATGCACTTGGTAATTTAAAACTGTTGGCTAAAATCAGGTATTAATGTCAGTGCTAAAAAATTCACAAAAAAAAAACTTCATTTGCATATCTGGTGTCCGAGCAGTGAATATTCAAAGAGAGGTCACTTTTCTAAACGCGCCACGATATCAAACGTGTAACTTTTTAAGCCCTTAACATTTCAGTGCATTTGCAAAACCATAACAAAAACACTAGCGCCGCCACATATCGACTACCCATTTCTCACACTATTTCTCGGCTTCCCTGTATGGACTTGTGTACATGTCATCTCAGTTGTTGCGAGATTCAATGGATAGATAGCGCGCGCTTCGAGACTCACACCAATTATATGGGTGACGGAAATCGTCCCAATTATTAATGCTATGGATTAGTGCTTTGTGTGGAATGTATGTGTTTCCATAGGGCATGCGTTGTAAATGATTTGTTTTGTTGTTATCATTGTATGCTTAGATGAAATTGTCCATAAATTATGTGATATATAATATTGACCCCATATTCCTATTTAAATAGGAATATGGGGTTATGTCTAAACGTTATTTACACTTACATATACACCTCAAACAACAAAAGTAAAGCACATGTAAACAACAATTCAATAATAGTGTCCTTTTAATTGTATTTAAAAATGAGCAGCAAAACTGTTTTAAGTCGACAACAAAAATAAATAACTGAATATAATGTAAATTATTTAAAAAAATGTATTATTAAAATATCTCTGCATTCACTGATCACAAGAATTTCTAAATGCATTTCATTTAATTATAAGACTGTTTGCCATATTATTTATAAATTATTTTAAAAGTTTTTATTTTGAATACAAAATAATCAATAAAACACATGTACTGTAAATTAAATGTTGTTATTTTTATTTATCTATTTTGTTATCTGTATTTAATTATAAATAAATCCAATATTTTTCATAAGAAATAAAACTTATTTTGGATAATAAAAACTGTTTATTGAATTTAAGACGACTCGAGGAAGAGAAGTAATAGTTTTGTTATTATTAATATTTAATTAAATAATCCTTAGATTTGATGAATACATAATTAACCTAAATAGATGATAAAACTGCGTGAAGAATGCTGGTCGTTACCGAAGCGATCGATGCGGTGAACGGCCACTCGTGTGGAGCCGTTTCACTATTCATGGGTGTCACCAGACGTACAGAATCTGATGACACGTCCGGCCGAAAACCTGTACAGTGTCTCGTATACGAGGCCTACCATTCAATGGCCATCAAACAGATGCAGGGTGTTATGGAGCAGAATATGGCCGTCTATGACTCGGATCGGATCCACAAATGCTATGTCTGTTACCAATTGGGACGCGTGAACGTCGGCCAGACGTCTATAGTCTGCATGTCTATTGATAAATATTTTGTTTCAAATCAATGTTTACTTTTATGATTAAAATTGTAATCAAAACAATAAATGCAATACTTTGTAATCAAAAAGTGGTCATAATTATTGAATGACATCTTGGCATTTAATGTAAACAAAAACACACAATACAGCGCATGTCATAAGCGACACATACACTCCACTCATACACTTCACACATAGCACTAAACCATAGCATAGAATACTGTGTTAAAAGTTGTCACCTTTTTTGTGATGTATACTATTAATGTGACTTTTAGCCATAGCATTAGCTTTTTCGCTTATGCTGCCATCTCACTCATGTCAATTAAATGCATTAAATCACTGGACGATATTTTGTACCACGATATAATAGGCGTAGGGAATTTAACCATATAAATAGACGGTTAAAGAGCTAAACAACCTTATTAAAATACGCTCCGACTATGTCGTACACTATTTAAACTCGTGGTTTGAAAGCGACAAATACTACTTACAAATGGAGTTATGCGCCGACAGTCTGCGCAATATATTGACGCTTAAACGCCGGGCGTTTGGCCGCCAAACGGCTGCTCAGGCCATGAATTCGGTTGAGTTTTTCATTTCGTGCCAATTATTAAAATAACTCGTGGAATGCTTACAGTATTTGCATTCATCGAAACCGGCGGTCATTCACCGCAATCTCAAACCCGATAACGTGTTGATCGCCCGAACCGTTCGCAACGGCCGGTACTTAAGTGTAAAAGCGGACACATGTACTACCATGTACTATGTATGATTTAGATGTTAAGCTCGACTTATTACCTAACCAATTGCTCGCATTGATGTTAACAACAGCGCAATTTTTGACATTTAATTCTCATTAATTTAATAATAGTCTTATTATAATAATTTATTTTTATATCATTCTGAATGCATGCAATCAAATCTAATATTACAGTCTCATTTCTATTAAATCATGAATAATTGACGAATCATTTAACAAATTTATATTTTTATGGTCTTTTAATTTTATAACGAGTGATATAACATTGCCGTAACATTTAATACATAGAAAATTGTAAAGTTTTTCTTTATTTATAATTTTAAAATTATATACATTAATTGGAAACACATTATTAACCATAAATTCTGATATGAATAATATGGATTTCATAAAAATGATAATTTTATACACGATTTGATTGCATGTATTTTCAATGATATGAAAATAAATAATTATTATAAGAGTATCATTAAATTTACGAGATTTAAATGTCAAGAATATATTCTACTGTTGCTAACAATGCGAGCAATTTGCTAGATAAATATGTGAACACATTTTATTTTTTATATTTAACGCACTTTACAAATAATAAGTAATTATTTATTGATATCAAAAGTATCGGGCTAATATACAATGATATTATTTGTATTTTTACAATTAATTTTATATTGACTATTAAACGGGGTTGACTTTATTTCCCGCTAATATGAATCCTATGGCATTGCCGTGTTTATGGAGGAGTGCCAATCCTATGAACTCATATTAAATATGTAGCCAATGCTAATCTATTCTTTAAACAATACCCGAATTGTGGTTAACGCATAGCATCCCTGTGTGATATTTGTGTTTATACACAGTATACGGCTTACAATAGACTTAACATTTGTCCATAGGATAGCATGACTAAGAGCCCACTTTGCAAAAGCTATAAAACCTAATGTATTGATCCGATTTTAGTAATTTTTAACCACAATGCAGCTATGAATAATGTAGTTTATGTGATCGTTCGGCCCTACAGGACCTGTTAACGTATAGCATCGCTCTGTGATCCTTGTTTTTATTGTACTAACCTATTATTGCTTTACACATTTTGTATTGGCATTATCACTTTATCTCGTATGGTTTAACTTATAACTAGGCAAATTGCCCTATTTTGATTATATCACATGACCATATTCTAAAAGTTAGATATTCAGAAGAACTATTGTATATGGCACTCCTAAATGCTTTAGACCGAATTTGATTATCTCTTATAATTTATAAATACAAAATCACGTGTGCGGAATACATTGACCGGCCCATTATATAACAATAATACCGTCCGGGTCTCCATAACCCTTCAAACTAAGTGCAACCGTATAATACTATTTGGAACATTCTGGCAATTGTTTTCTCCAAGAATACGAACGGTCAGCTAATCCGTTAAGGATTAACATTAACGGTTTACAGGTATGTCAATTATAAATACCATTTAAATTTAACTGCTAAATGATCACGTAAAAACGATACATTATAAATCAAATTAGTAATGTTTCATAACATAATTTACTTAATCGTTAAAATTTTGAAATATTTATTAAATTAATAAGTTACTTTTTAAGCAAAATCACTAAAATACTTAAATTAAGTTATCAGAATTTTGTTATGCATAAATTTAATAATATATTAAACAAACTGTATTACTTTCTAAATAAGTGAATTAATTAATTAGAATAGTAACTTGAACGTGATTTTATGTAATTTATAATTGCAAAAACCAAATCTTTATAATTTAATTTATGTGATTGTGCTTAAAATAAAACTTATTAATTTAATAAACATTTGAACTCTATAACGATTAACTAAATTATGCTATGCTACATTACAAATTTGATGTATACTGTATAGGTTTTAGGTGATCATTTAGCAGTTTAATTTAAATGATATTTTTAATTGACATATAACAAATAATATGCACATTAATTGTATTCACAATAAGTAAAGACTTAGATATAAAAAGACTTCATAAGATTTTTTTAGTGAAAATTACTTTTTCAAATACAAAACAATTAAACCGTTTAATATTTTTGCTGATATAATTCATACATCTATGCTTTATATTAAACGCAAATATAATTGACAACAGAATTTTTCAACAAATAATTTACCTAATTTAACCGATAAATTTAGCGCATGATAAAATGGCAAATAAAAAGTTTACGGTCCTTTTCATACCTATTGACTTCGTCGGACACGTGAACGCATCGGTAGCCCTGGCGGAGACACTACTGGCCGCCGGACACCGCACTGTATTTTTATTGACAGACCGTTGGCGGGGATTGTGGGACATAAAGCACCCGAACTCTTCAATAATATTTTACTGCAACAATAGCCAATCAATAGAATCTGGTTTAGAACCTGCCCATTTTTATGGCGAATGGCTATTGCAACATGGTCTATTATCTAAAAGTGGACCGTTAGAAAAAATGCAGAACTTTTGTAAGTATAAGGCGCCAATTTTGAAAACAGAGGCGCCAAAAATGGACGCTCTGATTGAACAAACCATACGCGATGTTCGGCCCGACGTTATTGTTGTCGATTACTTCCTGGCGATGCCGTCGATCGAGCGGTCGGGTCTGCCCTGGGTTTTTGTCAATTCGTGTAATCCCTTGTGTCACATACGCGACGCTCGCACCCCAACCTTCGGTTCAGGTTTGTGCTGATATTTGTTTAAATATAATATAAACATTATGGTATTTATTATTAATTATTAAGAGAGAGAGAGAGAGAGAGAGAGAGAGAGAGTATTTGAGGGTAAAAGCATGTATTGAAAAGTAACATAATTTATACAGAATTTCTTATCATTTGTATGCATTCAGATATGTTGTTATCAAATAATGATAAGAGTAGATTGTTTAAATTTAGTAAATTTAGATAATTAATTTAATAGTTGTGCAAAATGATGTGTAATCTAGTTTCATATTCTCTATAACTCTCTCAATTGCTTATTCAATAACTCACTGGTGTCATTTATTTAATGATAATATTGTAAGGTGGCCAGCGGCCACCCTAATTAATATTAAATAAATAAGTTTCACTCAATTATAATTGTGATCACAAATTATATATTTTATTAAAAGTAAAGTGAACACTTTGGGGGGAGCACTTTTTACTTTGTTCCCGTCCCCGTCGCTCCGTCTTCGTCACCGTCAATAAATTTTATATGTATGTTCTATGTATGTAATCAATGTAGAATTTATTATTGAGTTCGAATCTGGAACTCAAAATATTTTATTTCAAATATTTTTCGAATTATTCGATTTATTTTTTATCGAAAATTTTAACGTAACGTAATTTATTGATATGATGTATGATTTTGGTATAGATTTTAACGCTGATTAATATAATAAAATTGGTTTCAAAATTAAATTTATAATTTTCGAACTATTCGACTTTAAAATGTTAAAATTTGAACTAAAAAATATTAAATGTAGAAAATTATTAATTTTAAATTCGAAAATCAACGTGAAATTCTACATCAAAATCATATATCATATTAATAAATTACGTCATTATAAAATTTTTGATAAAAAATGTTCGGAGTTGAATAACTCGAAAAATATTCATAATAAAATATTTTAGATTCCTGATTCAAACTCAGCGATAAATTCTACATTGATTACATATATAAAACATACATGTAAAATTTATCGACGGAAACGGGGACGAAGAGACGGGGACGGGCGAGGGGAACGTGCATCCCCACTTTGAGTTACATAAATTAATAAATAATCATTATATTTATTAAATTTCTTGCATTACCTCTGGTGGTGGGTTTCTCTCTCACACACACATACATCCATACATACATTCAATGTATTTCATTGTGTGATGCAATGTTCATACGAGCAGAATAGGGTATGATTGGCTAAACTGATTGAGCGCGCCAGTTTTAAATGGGCTGAATAAACTCGTAAAATAATATAATACATATAGTTAAATAAGCAATGCAATTGCACTTGTGATTAATGTTTGCAAATTTATTAAAATGCATCCAAGTGATGTTTAGATAAAATCATATTTTAATAAAAATTGGGTTCGTATGATTAAAACTAATTTGAAAATAATAAAAATAGATGTTTATAATTGAGTCCCTACTGGAACCCCCAACAAACTTAACCTAATCTATTACTATTGAATTCTATTCAATATTATTGAAACAATTACTAAAATTCACAGGTTATGCGGCACTCGGAGACCAAAGCGAGTGGAAAGCATACACAGAGGCACACATTGCGGCCATAAGTGATTTTTGGTATGAATTTAACGCATACAATGTGTCTAAAGGCTGCGAACCGCTGCCATTCGGACAACTCTTTAAGCCGTCGCCGTATCTAAACGTATATCAGTTTCCAATTGAGTTGGACTATCAGGATATGCGTCCAAATCCGCCCAAACACTACCGGTTCGACCACTTTATGAGCACAGATGGCAATGATCTGGTGTTTGAGATACCGGTCTCGTTAGCGAACAAACCGGGAAAGTTAGTCTACTTTTCGTTGGGCTCTATGGGGGCCACAGATGTCTACAATATGAAGAGATTAGTGAGTATTTTGTCTAAATCTAAGCACCGATTCATTGTATCGAAAGGTCCCAAACACGACACATATGAACTGCCGGACAACATGTATGGCCAGAAATATCTGCCACAAAAACAGATTGTGCTACTCGTGGACCTGATTATAACTCATGGTGGGAACAATACGGTGTGCGAAGGGTTCGCCGCCGGGAAACCGATGATAGTATTGCCCCTAAACGGCGATCAATACTCAAACGCCCAACGGGTGGACGAACTCGGTTTCGGTGTACGTCTGGACGCCTATAAGTGCACTTCAGGGCAACTCTTGGCGGCAATCGATCGGCTCTTAAACGATAAGGAATTACACGAAAGACTGGCTATAATTGCGGACAGAATTAAAAGAGATAACAGTATCGCAAAATTTCCGCAATTAATTGAAAATATCGTGTCATGA